TTTTAAATTAAATGTTCCCTCCTGGTGGAATGACCTGCCCAACTCAGTCCAAGCAGCTGAGTCCTTAATATTTTCAAGAAATGACTGAAAACACATCTCTTTCATCTTCATTTGACCCTAGCACTCTCTATTCTAATGCTACTTCTAATTTTATCTCCTTGTTTTTTTTATTAAAAAACGTTGACCTTCTAACACTTGCATTATCCATTCTTTTTCTGTTCTATTGAGTTGTTTTATTTTTATTTAAAAATGACCCTCTAACACTAGTATTCCCTATTCTTTTTCTATCATTTGTATTATTTTTATTTATTATAAAAACTAAATAAGCAAACAAACAAACAAACCCAAAAAAACTTGCTACGTATACTGTTAGGCGAAGCCCCGCCCCTGTCCCCGCCCACAAACCCCGTCCCCTACTGTCCTCTTTTTGAAAAACTAAAATATGGTCACCCTAGCATAGAGGAACTACAATAATGTACAGTATTTGAAAAATAATGTGTTTTTTAACCATTAAAGCATGTCAACATATTCTGTTACACCAAATACACAAAATAATGATTTTTAAAATAGCATCATATGACCCCTTTAAATACACATGGGATGATTAGCAGAACTGAAACAGGTGCACGGAACTTATTAACAATAAAGAACACTAACTAGGGAACTCAGATAACCGGGAACACAGGAAAAACAAGAACAGAACACTGAAAACCAAATATAAATGTTTTATACAATGTTTTTTTGCTTGTGTGCTTGTGTTTGTTGTTGTGCTTAAACTCTAATGTGCAATGTTTTGTAGAACCAAAACTACAACCATCTCAACACATTAATAAATGTATTATCAGCTCAAAATAATACACATTTATTTATTTTTTTTTTTAATGTAGCTGAGTCATATTAGAAGTTATGTTATGACATCCACCAAAGAAGATTCATTTTTACCAATCCTTCAGTTACGGTGTTAAGGAATTTTAGTTGTATAAACATATAGTTTTACAATTTTGATGCAATTTGGTGTGCATCTCTAATTTTAATTAAATGTGGGTTTTGTGTTAATGAGATGAAGACCAATTTGTGAAAAAATTTGTGATTAATCAAAATCTGTTTGATAGCTGCTGTATGCTGTGAAGACTGGACCAACAAACCAAATGGAGTTTGTTTCAGAAAACTCAAACTCACCAAAAAAAATAAGAAAAAAAGAAACGAAAAATCAGAAATCAGTACAAACACAATAGTGTTCCAGCACTTTTGGTGCTTGGATCTCTAAAAATAACAAGTGTTGTGTACATACCAAACACAAACTGGAGGGTGAATTAAGTTTGTTTTCTGCAGCAATGCAGAGTGAGCCTGCAATAATGTACTGAGAGGAGAGAGAAGGGCAAATATTGAGGCTTTTGTTGCAATATGTACAGATGGTACTCAACCAGAATAAGCTTTTTACCGCCATGTGTATCATAAGATTGTCTCATTTAAGACACTTGCTTGATTGCGTTTCCCATAGCATCAGCAGATGCAGTGTCTCATTCCACATCTCAGGGAACCATTGTTACATTTGTAATCTGAGACATTTTACTGCAATTTATCTCTGTGTTTGGAAGTAAACTTTGTGAATCAGGGGTTGTCATTCAGAGAAATGTGTGCATATGCGATGCGGGTTCTCCAACCAGTGTGCTGAGTTCAGCCGATCTTTGAAAGACATTTCACAAAGGGCTAACATATAAATGGATATATATTAAATACCATTGAATGACAAAACTGTTTGTTTGTGTTGTGTTCCCCCAACCAACAAAACTGCAAAAATGTTGTATGAATCACAAAAATTACATTTTGGCTTCAGAACAGATTTTGTAATCCTCATTTATACATCAAATCACACAGGGAACACTATCACTGAACTATGTAACCAGCAAACATGAATAAGTTTAACAGTACTCAGACTTTATGTAGACCTATACTAAAAATGTGTAGCCTTCGCTACGAAGGCTGTGTATGTGGCATACTGTATTAAATAATGTGGTCACAATATTGACAAAAAAAAATATCAATGGGTTAGAAAAAGGCACGTATAATGTTCCCATTATGATCCACATTTTCTATTTATTCTATGGCATAACTGCACATCTCTCAAATTTGTAATAATCTCAAATACTGCAATACAATAAAAAGTTAGCACACTTCAAGCACTACCGTCACGGTAAAATTTTACTGTAACAGTAGTCAAATAACTGGAACATTTAGTATTTAAATGATGACTAATTAGTCATGGTTAAATATTAGAATGCTACATTAATTGCCAGTAATTTAATTCATTATTTTATCTTAATTTATAAAGGAATACTACAGTTCTGTTTCATTCCTCCTGACCGCCAGAGGCGGTGCTAAGCACTAGTGGATAATCGCTGCGCCAGCTAGATAGGTCGACAAAAAAAATACCAACAGAGTCACGTCATGACGTAGACTGAGATGCAAGGATATAAACCAGTGTTTCCCAACCGGGGTGCCGTCTGTCGAGAGCAGGGGTGCCCTGTAAAAAATCCTTTTTTAATATTTTTAAATTGCTAAAATGTTCAAAAAAGCAGCTATTATATAATATCCATTTCTGATGTCGCCAATAATTAGAGATGCACTGAAATTCCGGCTGCCGAAAATTAGTTCACTGCTCAGGATTCACTTTCACATGGTGTGACGCTCTGCGTCATAGCCGCGGGAACGTATTTTGAGCTGGGGGGGCTGAGAAATAAAACCGGACTCGGGCCGAGAATTCTCATGAAGCTGTTGGACAAGGGCCGGGCCCATGCAGGGCTCTATTCGTCCCCTCGTTGCCCCCATATGCACCTGCATACCCTGCATAACCAGACGCTACGCCACTGATCTTATTTGTTCTGTGACAAAATTAATTTTGTAGGGTGCCACAAATTTGTTAAAATTTCCAAAGGGTGCCGCGACTAAAGAAAGGTTGGGAAACACTGATATAAACCACAGCAGCTCAATGCCCAGCCTCTTTCGCTTTCTCGCTTATGATAGGTCGTTGATTAGCGCTGTCCCGTGCAGCTTACCTGAGTTGTGAGGATTCGTGCTCCCAAGCTGTGACAGCGCGCCCTGCACTATCATCTGATTTTTTTGGATTCCCTCTCTTCATTACGTGAGTATACATTATTACATTGTTGTGTCGGCGAGACCCTGTGCTTCACGGTTCTATCCGGTGGCTGGTTTCGACCGCACTTAGGTAGCGTTTCCCGGCTGACCTATTTATCATTGATTTCGTCGCCTACTCACCATCGTGCAAGCTCTCCTTTGCCCTGCGGTGCTATCCAAAGGCAGTTTTGATAATTCACATGTGATTCCTCTCTCTTATAAATCTTTCGGTTCTATCCGAAGATTTTATCAACGCCTGATCTTTCTAAGAGCGTGTTATATAAGTTTTGAGTTCCTACGGTGCTACCGAGGACGTGTTTTGATGGAGTCATGGCTCACAGCTCTCATATCTCCGTCTCTCCACCGAGCTGCAAACTGTGCCTAAACGCACTTCTTCCCGACGATGGACACGATTGCTGCCCGTCGTGTTTGGGGATTCAGCATCTGAAGGAAGCGTTGACTGATCCGTGTTTGCATTGTGCCATGCTGCCGCTGTCAGAAAGACAGCTTCGTCTTGCAGAGATAGATCCTAACTCGTCTGCTAGCCTCGCACAGTCGTATTCAGCGCCACAGCGCGCTCAAAAACGTTGCACATCAGAAACTTCGCTATCGAAGACTGTTGCCACTCTCTCTTCAGAGATGGCAGAGTTAAAACGTCTTCTTCAGTCTTTACAACCCCCGGTATCAGCCGTGCCCACTGAGAACAATTCAGTGAACGAGATTGATTTCCAACCCCCAAATACTATCGATTTAGACGTTCTATCTATGAGTGCATCTAATTCACATTTCCTTGATGAAGAGTTGGTGGATCCTGCCATGCAGCCTGGCCCCCCACAGGATGCTCTCTCCAGCCTGTCTGCTGCTGGTGGTTCAAGCGGTGGGTCTGTACATTCATCTAGTGCAGGCCAATCTTCTCCTGATGACATTCTTTTGATTCTGCAGATGGCAGTGGCTCGTTTTGGGTCTTGATAACTCTATTCAGCCTGCTCAAACTAATGTGTTCTTCAAGCAAAATGCTGATAATACGTTTACTATGCCTCCATGCAAAGACTGTGCCTAAGGAGGTCAAAGACAGCCCGCACTCTTGCCTCAGTGGCTGAGGCTGACTCTATTGGAGTAGGTCGGGCACCTGAAATTGAACAGCCGGTGGCAGCATTGGTGGTATCACCAGATGAAGCGCTTATTCATACTGACACATTATTGAAAAAAGTATAAGAGTCCGTAGCCTACATAACTCGGACGGAAAATACTAATTGCCAGCTGCTGCTCGCCTGTAACACCACATTAGGGTCAGTGAATGTTGACTCATCTGTACCTCAGTTCTTACAGACTGCCCTGTTGACTATAGGTCATGTAACGCGTGAACTTGGGACACTTTCGGCAACCCTTCTAACAACCCGATGACAGGTATGGCTTGTTCAGTCAAGGTTGCCTGAAAACTGTAAGAAGACATTGAGGGAACTGCCAATTGTACCGGGACATCTTTTTGGCCCCAACGTTTCTGAACTATTAGAAAAGAGAATGAAGTTGTCAGAGGCCACATGACAGTTAACTCAGGCCCCACGGGCTCCTCCTTTTAGGATGCCATTGAAGCCAGCTCACCCAGGCTACTTGAGTTCAGAGCAGCGGTTGCGTCACCATGGTGGTTCTCAACTTCAGATGCCGCAATGACACAGAGTGGCCGACGATACTCAGTCACGCCGTCCTTTTCCCCGCCACCATCAAGGGGGTCCACGTCAGCGCCCCCCGCAGTTTCAAAGGGCAGAAACCCTTTTTTGAAGTTTCTGGCCCGGCAGTCGGTCGTTTCACCGTACAGCACCTACATTACTGGGAAACATCAACATCCGACCCCTGGGTTCTGACGACTCTGAACAGGGGATACACTTTGCAGTTCCGACGCCAGCCTCCAAAGTTTTCAGGGATTCTTCCGACAGTCGTCAAAGATGCAACCAGTTCAATGGCCCTTTCCATGGAAATTTTTCGCTGTTGTTGAAAGGAGCCATAGAAAAAGTTCCCCTTCTCAGACAGAGGGACGGTTTTTACTCGGCATACTTCCTTTTTCCAAAAGGTCTGAGGTCGACGTTCTTCGATCTGTGATGAAAGGAGACTGGTTTGTGAGTGTAGACTTGAGGGATGCTTACTTCCATGTTCCCATTGCTCCCCACTACAGGAAGTTCCTAAGATTCAGTTTTCAGGATCAAGTCTATCAGTTCAGAGTCCTGCCATTCGGACTGTCCCTAGCTCCTCATGTTTTCACGAGATGCATGTATGCGGGGCTCTGTCTCCTCTTTGGTGCAAGGGCCTGAGGATTCTGCCTTATTTGGACGATTGTTTGCCCTGTGCCCCAACGAAAGTGCCCGCTCTAAGCGATACCAAGATTGTTCTGGATCATATACAAAAGCTAGGCCTTACTGTGAACGAAACAAAAAGTCATTTGGTTCCGGAGCAGACCATAACCTTCATAGGAATAACGCTCAATTCTGTCGCAATGTCTGCCACACTGTCTCACACTCGGACAGTCAGTATTCTTCAGTTGTTGACTCGTTTCCGTCTGGGGGCAAGGATACCTTATGGTGTCCTTTTACAACTGATGGGGATGTTAGCTGCCGCCACATCCGTGATTCCATTAGGGTTGCTTCACCTCAGGCCTCTTCAGAGGTGGAGCAACAGCTTAGGGCTAGACTCAACGAGACATCGCCATCGCATGATTGTTGTTTCTTCTGCTTGTGTCAGAGCACTGAAACCCTGGAAACGGTTAACATTTCTGAGGGCTGGAGTGCCACAAGGAGTGGTGCCTTCTCGCTGGGAAGTGATCACAACCGATGCTTCACTAACAGGATGGGGGGCAACATGGAACCAGAGGGGCATTGGTGGCCGCTGGTCAACAAAGGAGGCCTTAGAACATATCAATGTTCTGGAACCTAAGGCGGTGTATCTAGCGCTACAACACTTCTTACCAAATCTGTTAGGCCGCCATGTACTTGTCCGATCCGACAACACGTCAACAGTCTTTCATTTGAATCACCAGGGCGGCACCAGGTCTCTTGCATCTTTACAACTAACTCGCAATATCCTCAGATAGTCTCAAGTCCGACTGGCTTCATTAAAGGCAGTTTATCTTCCAGGATCGGACAATGAAGTGGCAGATGCTCTGTCCAGGGATCTATTGCTTCCGGGCGAATGGAGGCTTCGCCAGGATGTGGTGCAACTGATTTGGCAACAGTTCGGCAAGGCAGAGGTCGATCTATTTGCCTCGGAGCTAACCACGCATTGCCGTTGGTGGTTTGCGAGGGCAGAGGCATCCAGCACATTGGGACAGGATGCATTAGCTCACGAGTCAGGAGGAATGAAACAGAATGCTAGTTACGTATGTAACTGTGGTTCTGTGAATTCCGGATGACCGCCAGAGTTCCTCGTCATTCGGAATGCGCGAGAAAGCATTCCGAGGCTGGGCATCGAGCTGCTGTGGTTTATATCCTCGCATCTCGGTTTACGTCATGACATGACTCTGTTGGTATTTTTTTTCTCGACCTATCTAGCTGGCGCAGCGATTATCCACTAGTGCTTAGCACCGCCTCTGGCGGTCATCCGGAATTCACAGAACCACAGTTACATACGTGTAGCGTCTGCGTAGAATCATGCATGATCTTTGGGGTTTTATGGCTTAAGAGACCCTTTTAGCTTTTGACATTTGCATATAAATTACAGTTTAATTCGAAGATCTAATCTAAATATTTATTATTAATCATAACCAGTTATAATTAGTCATAAATATTTCCCTTTTGAGCTGATTTACTACATACGTAACTAGCATTCTAGCATTACTGAGCAATGCTGAGAGCCGTCCCTTTGTGCCACCCGGTGTTGATTTCTCAAACGTTTGTATTTAATGTCATGTCCTTGCAGAAGCGATACACTTGGTGGTAATAGGCATTGTTGGTTGACTACCTACTGTAGCTTGTATTATAAAAGACAGAACATAATTACTTAATAATTACATAATTAACTATAATTTCTTACGATGAGAGATCCCCAGTAAGGAATACCACTATAGACAAAGATGGATTCTGCATAAACTGTAGACACAATGCCAAACAGGAGAGTCATCAGACCAATCATTATCTGGACAGTCTGTGTAGGACAAGAAAATTGTACATTCTGAATAGGACAAAAGAGTCTTTCATAAAGTAAATCAGTATAAAATATACACTATACATTTTTGACAGCTGTAGTAATGGACTTATTATTGTATCAGAATATATATATATATATATATATATATATAAAAAATAAAATCTACAAGTGTGCAATTTTCATAGTTTTTTGATAGTTTGCTTCTAAAACATTGTAAATTGTACAATTTTACTCTCTAAATGACAAACCTTATCTTATGTTTGTGTCTTTACTGCATTGTTGTTACCAAGGCAAAACGTCAGATTCTTCAATAAAAAAACTGTGTATGCTTTGTTAATGTGTGTACCCCTCCTTCCTTAGAATTAAATCATGTTCTTTTCTTACCTCGCACTGACATGTACAAATAAAAACCAATTATTTGAGTGTACGAAAAATTTCTCACCCCAAGAGCTTTTGGTTGGCCTGTCAGAAATGCCTGAAGACCATGAAGAGGTGAAAGTCCTGCTAATTGTTGGACATAAACAGGCGCAGGCGCATTTGTGGCAGTCCCAAATGCTGTTGTTTGTATTGGTGGTTGCAGCTGGATGACAAAAGAATTCATGGGTATGGCAGTCGACATTCTCGTTTCAGGATCTCAAATTGACCTGTACAAAATCACAGTAACTCAAAACATAGAAATGATATAATTATAAAATAGATTTTGCATGTAAAAAAAAAATATATATTCAATTAATTTATTAAAATAGTATATATTATCATAAACATGGTTTTTCATATTGTTTTCTTAAAGAATTATTTCTTCAGTTTTTTGCCTTTATTATGATAGGACAGTTAGTTGACAGGAATCGTAGTGGGAAAAAGAGAGGGGGGACGGGATCGGGAAAGGTCCACGAGCCGGGACTCAAACTTGGGACACCCAAAGCGCAACGCCACTATATGTCGGCGTGCTACCCAGTCTTCATATTGTTTGAACACTTATGAATGCAGTTAGGCTATAGTACCCTAGTATAAACTAATATATATTTAAAATACATTTATTTAATACAAAGTATAGTTAAAATCTATTAACATATTTACTGCCTGATCGCTCGAGACGTACTGATATAAAAGTTAGTATTAAACTTTATTTGGAGTACTACCTGTGCACAATGCACAATTTAATATTAAGCCTAAAATGTGTTTTAATGTCACTAAGATATTTAAAGTGTACCTAAAGTATATTTACAATAGTTCCACTTTAGCACAATCAGATATATTTCAGTATATCTTTAGTTGGACCTCAGCACTACTTATGCACAATTAAAGAACATTGCTGTTATTGTTCTAATTTAGCAGACTTTAACTATACAGTTCAGTATACCAAAAGTACAATTGTAGGGTATTTTTATTAAGTACATAATTATGTAAATGTATTTGTAGTATACTTAGCATGAAATAAATGAATTTCAAATACATTTTAGTATATTTATTTTTCTAGTTATTAATATTGGTAGAGTTATTGTTATCAACTAGAATAACTCTATTAGACATTGAAAACTTGGAATATACTGTGAAACAAACAGCTCAGTTTTAAACTGATCTATATAATTTACATTTAAAGCATTTAACAGATGCTTTATTACAAAGACACTTAAATAAACACCCTACTAGCCATTATAGATCCACTTAATACCAAATAAAGAAAACCGATTTATTATTAACAATGTAATTTTAAAGAAAGAAAGAAAGACATAGTTGTGTAAAGGTAGTCAGATGTAGTGTAAGTATATATTTACTGTTTTACCAGGAAAAAAAATCCTCTCTTCAGCTGGTTTTTCACACGTCACTGAAGTTCCGTTCACTCTTCTGGGATAAGCCAATGCAAATTATTTGTCAAGTGTAATTACTTATACTTTTTAAAGGGGAAGCAGGTGGAGCTCAGGTGATTATGAAAATTGGCGAAGCTGGCCGTTTCATGAGATAATAAGAAGTTTAAAAACCATGAAAAAAAACAATGAAAAGTGAAGTTTTCATAAATGTGTTTGTTGTATTGTACTTCATAAAAAGTAATTTGCATGCTGGTTTGGAAATCAGGTGAAATTGCCATAGTGAAACCAGGTAACACTCTTTAGCTGATAATAGATAAAACTCTTTTGCAACTTAGAAGTATAATAAATCTGAGACCATTAGCATTCATTGTCCTCTTGTCAAATGAATTTCAATCTAATAGCATTGTTGTGTTGTGAGTGCATACTCATGTAAACAAATAATCATTGTTACAAACAAAGGGTTTACACTTTATTAGTTTGATACAGATTTGGAAAAGAAAAAATATTGTTCCACTAACATGTGCTTTTAATTTCCATTCTTTTTAAAAAGTTACTTTTTTTATAGCTGTTAGTGTAAGCAGGCACATAGTCTATGACTGTTGGGCTTCTTGTTTTCAATAATCTCGTTATCCTGTTAATTCTTTATTCTGGTATTGTTTGGTTTTGCGTTTTGAAGATTTTTTTTTATTATTATTTTTAGTTTAATCAGAATGGTATGGATCCGGGTGACTCTTAGTTTCTGCACTTGATGTATAAAAACAGTGGACTTGATTTAGAAAAACTAAATTGGTTGTAAATGAATAGTCACACTTGAGTTGTTCTTGATCAAAATTGAAGTTAACATTTTATTTATAATGTTTTATTTTATTTTTAATCTTGCTATTTACTTGTATTTTTGCTGATAATTTAGTTTCGACTTAACAGTTGTCTATTTTGTATATTTTTAGAATATGATTTGTATGAGTATTATTGTTGCTTTGAGTAACTAGTGATTAAACCAATGTATCACAACTGAAAATCCTAAACATTTAACTTCAGCTGATCTGTTTCACCTTCAATTTATTTCTGTAACAATATACAAGTGCTTTTAGTAAAGTGCTTTTGCAATTAATGAAAGAGAGTCAACAAAAGTTAAGTAAAATGCTCAACTACAGTAAACACTAATAACCATAATGGTGACTTCAAATGAAAAGTTCAAAACCTTCAAAATCAAAATCACCTAGCTAAACCTCTATTTTTTTTACTCAAGTTTATTCTCAAGTTCTTTAGTAGATGAATGAAAGAAAAAAGTCAAACTGCTTTTGTAATAAAAGAAGATGGAAATGCCGTTTTTGGAGCTGTTTAATCATCCTTTGCTGAGACATTGAGAGATTCTTTTATTTCAGTTGTTCTCATCGGCTGTGTGTCCAAGTCCATTGTAGTTGTTGTGCTTCTGCTTGTTTCTTCTCTTTTTTTCTGTTCCTGTTGTTCCTCTTTCCTTCTGTGATTCTGCTTATTTAGGTGTTCATCACAAATGATGCATCACTAATGCATCACTCTGAAAAACGGTAGTTCTCCAGGTGCAGGATTGGAGATGCCTGAACTAGTGAATACATAGGGCTGTACAGGCATGTACTGACTACACTATGGCTTTACAGATAATTTTCTTTATTTTATTTTTTTTATACCAGGTGGCAATAATCCGTCTCCATTTAATGGCTTTTAAAGGTCCCCTATTATAGGTAATGAAAGGTTCATATTTTGGGTTTGAAATGCATGTAAGGTCAAAAAACACTTTTATTGTCGTATAATATGCATTTATTTTTACCTTACTTGCTCAACGACTCCCAAACAATTCGCTCAACGATTCATTTTTCCAAACCCCTCCTTTGTGTGACGCTAATTTGCGGTGATTGGTCCGATTGGTCTCATTTTCCTTTCATCATGCCTGTAATGCCGATGAAAGGTAATTTTCAAAAATCCATAATAGGGGCACTAAGTACTTTTGCTAAGTAATTTTTTACTTAAATACTGCGTTAATTAAAAAGTGGTGTAAATATGTTTTTAAATAAATTTATACTATTATTTACATATAAGAAATAAATGGTCTATAATTTAGACATGATTATTGTTTTGTAACATGAAATTCCCTCAAAATACCAAATACTAAAGAAAAAATTATGAAATGAACTCTAGTACTTTATAAAAATGAAATTATTATATAATTAAAGTCTGTTCTGTTTTGACTGTGAACAATACATGTTTGACTCCTAAATAAACAATAACAGAAGCTTAAAGGGATTTTCTGCAATTTATAGTTGTTTATAATGAGTTAATAAAGGCAGTAACAAATTTTTGAATGTTCTAAAACAGACATCATGATATTTATGGATTTTATCCATCCCAGTGGTGGCTGAAGTGCTTTTGAAGAGGGTGAAATAGGCTGTACAAGCTGAGCAGCATCTGGATACAGCCCTGCATCTAATACACAAAGAAAATCCAGTCTTACCATGCAAGCCATAACACTACTTGTGCAATTGAAAAATTATACAACAATAACAATTAAAAAAGGAAAGCTACCTTTTGCTTTGTGTAATAAATGTGTTTGAAGTTTTATGTTATAATGTACTGTATTTAAATTGACCAGTTGTAGGTTTTGTGCTTGCACTCCTTGCTGTCAGGAATTAAAATATGTACTGTAACTATGGGATAGAACGCACTCTTGGTTGGTTTGATCCAAGTCTAGGCTCTGTCATTTAACTCAGAATTTTGGGCTATTCATGTGACCCAATCAAAGCTTGAAATTAACTCTGCCCATGCCAAACAGTAAAGAGAAAACATGTTATGAATTTTTAAGGATTCATCGTTAGTTGTCTCTGAATTCCAAGGGTGATGTAGCCTCTACTTCGTACTTCAGGTTAAAACATAAAAAAAACGAAGAAGACAGCCAGAACAGATGTAAATTCATCCTGGAATTAACTGCCTGGAAGACCACCCTTTCTTCTACATATGTAAAGCATACTTCTTTTTTTGGTGTCTGCATGGGTCTGAATCTCCTAAAAGACCAATTTGTAAACTTGACCTTATAGGGCAGAATTATCTTTTAGACTCAAGTCAGAAATTTTGCACTAACACTACTGGTGTCTGACTATTGAATGACAACCTCACCACTCACAGATTCATCATCTGCATGGGTAGTGGTGACCTGCATGCAGAAAAGTAGACAGAAGTAGTGCTTATGTGTGAGAAAATATCAAATCTTTATACATCTCAGAAAATATATTCATTGGCCATTTATTTGTAAAATAATTACATCAGCAAGAAGGAAAATGGTATCATGCTTCTCTCTAAAGGCCATCATCACCAATATGATAGCAATTGTTGAGTTCATGTATTTGCCTTGGGGACGTTCAGTGTCAGCAAGGACAGTCTTCACTTCTTTTGTCCAGTGAAGAAGCGAAGAGTTTTGAAGAAATGGAGCACCCGCCTTCCTTTTCCAGCAATGCATTCTCTTAAGTCTTTCTTCAGGCTTGAACTGAAGTGCTGCATTATAAACTTCTTCATAAATTTTCAATGTTTCAATGAATTGTCAATTCATGTACACTAAGTGAAGGAGTACATTTTATTGCACTATACTGTCTTAAGTTAAGGCCATCAAATCATTCACTGCTCCACTTGGTCCATCCTGACAGAAAATTAAACGGCTACTCCTTTTTTTCTGATGCAGAAAGTCTATTTAGATGGCTGCCTGTTTTTACATCCATAACTGTCTGTTTTTGCACATTTTTCAAACTGTGCTTGGTGGACATAATCTGTACCAGTAGGTATTTGGGCTTTCTGACCCTGTTGAAAAAAACAGCATATGCTGGTTCGGTATAACCAGCTCAGGACCAGCTTAAACCAGTTTATGACCAACTCAGGTTAAAAAGGTTTGTAAGCGGGTTAAGTTCAGTCCCTATAATTGTAAGTTTACTAGAGATTATATGTCATTAGAGGCAGCTAAGATGTATATGCATTCTATGGTTATTTCTCAAATAACTTACTGTTTAACAACCTGGTCTCAGGCGAGTTTAGTGACTCTAAAACCATTGGAGTCCTTATAAAAACGTACACTTAAAGTTCTTGACAAGAAACCGGTACACTTTCATCATTGTTCAATATTGAAAAAATATAATCTGCTGAGTTGGGAAAATATGATTAAAGGGTTACTCCACCCCAAAAGTAAAATTTTGTCATTAATTACTCACCCTCATGTCGTTCCAAACCCGTAAGACCTCGGTTCATCTTCAGAACACAAATTAAGATATTTCTGATGCATTCTGAGAGCTCTCTGACCCTCCCATAGACAGCAATGTAAGTCACACGGATACGTTGTTTTCGTTCAAATCAAAGCGTAAACAACGTATTCGCGTGACGCAGCTGACACAGAATAGCATACGCTGTTTGCGTTCAGTGGATACTCTCCAAAGTGGCACCAGGGTGACGCGGAGGAGACAAATTGTTGAATAAAGTCGTTATTTTTGTTTTCTTTGCGTACAAAAAGTATTCTCGTAGCTTTGTAAAATTACGGTTGAACCGCTGATGTCACATGGATTATTTTACCGATCTCCTTGCTACGTTTCTGGACGTTGATCGTGTTACTTACATTGCTGTCTATGGGAGGGTCAGAGAGCTCTCAGAATTCATCAAAAATATCTTAATTTGTGTTCCGAAGATGAACAGAGGTCTTACGGGTTTAGAACGACATGAGGGTGATTATACCTTGTGTGTGTTAACTGATTGAATGTGACTGTGTGTTTTATAGCCTGGATCATGGAGGAGAGTTCAGGATTACAGCAGGACTACACAAATGTGCGTCTACACACACACACATCACACACACACCTTTAGTGATTGTTGTTGTGTTATAAATGTTTCTCTTCTTGTGTTCAGATTTCTGTGATCTCAAACTGGATCCAAACACAGCAAACACTCGTCTTGCTCTGTCTGAGGATAACAGAAAGGTGACACATGTGACAGAATATCAGCCATATCCTGATCTTCCAGAGAGATTTGATGA